CTTTCCAACAAGATAATACCCGACCACATGTTGCAAGAGTCACAATAGACTTCTTTCAACATAATGATGTCACATTGTTACCATGGCCACCAAGATCTCCCGACTTATCCCCAATTGAGCACGTGTGGGATATGATGGGTAGGAGATTGCTCAATTTGCAACGTCCTCCTCAGACTCTAGAAGCACTTCGAGAGGAGTTGGTGGTTGCCTGGAATGAGATACCACAGGAGGACATTGACCACCTGATCAGAAGCATGCCTAGGCGCGTTGGAGAATGCGTAGCACATCAGGGTGCATCCACACATTATTAAAGGTCAAAGGGCTTCATTAAGTACTTATACAAAATTTGATTAAAATAAAACCATTTAAACTGGGTGTTCGGATTTATATGTCACTTAGTATAGATACAGGATTAGGGCCTATAAGCAAGAAAATAATTCAAATTTCAATCCTGTCTATGAAGTTTAATTCAATTAAACTGTTATAAATTCGCCATTTTTATATGAGCTTCAGGGATGCACAGAGCGTGGTGGTCAGCATTTCGAGCATCTACGGGGGTATTACAACCATTCCGAAAATATCGAGATTTGAATTTGGATAAAATTTTCTGTTGCAAAGTTTATTTCCACATCGCCCATCTCTATCTTAACGAAATGACTGGCCACCGTACGCTCCCACGTAGCCTGAGAAATTCGCATAGGGAAAACCCTGTACGGACGCTTTCCAAATAAGATTCTGACATTTATTAGATCGATTAAGTAAAACTACGTCCGTCTCCATTCCACAGATAATGATTTCGAATGCATCAGGCAACGCATGAAAACAATAAATTTCATTATCTATTACATGTATACGTACATTATTTGTGGTAGATAATAAATGAATTCCACTTTTACGATCGGTAACCATATAAGCAATTATTAACATTTTCTATGTCGGGAGGTGTAGTACAACGTTTAGTCACGAACTGACGTGTGGGCGAGAAAATGGGGCCCACGTTGGGGCAGTCAGCTTTGCGAATTTATTCAGCCAAATCGAGGCATATCAGCTAAAAAACTATAAGAATATTTTGGGGGAAAAATACTTGGATGTACGAAATGTATGATGAATATCCAAAGCAAAGCAAGATCTGGCAACACTGAAGGCGCTTAGAGGGGAGACACGGGAACATGCGATCCTTCTTCAGTACACGTCTGAACTCGGTCGAGTCATTTGGTTGTCCGTACTCGGAAGTAGATTTTTGATCCTTGTTCCAATTGTGATCTGATATCGAAATGTTACAGTTTTGTATGGTTTTAAGCTTAGGGGTAGATGACACGCTACCTGAAAGCCAATAACTCTCAGCTGAACTGTGTAAATATGACGTAGGATCAGGTTTTAGCGACCCAAGATACGTCCAAAAGAGGCCATTCAATCCGCCTTCAAAGCATTTGAATTTTTGGTTACCATGTATTGTTATAAAAACAGGCAAAAAATGGGTCGCTCGAACCGAATCCTGGGAACATTCAATCTGGAAATGCCTCGTTTTCCAGATACTGTCTGCAATTCTATTTTGTCAAAAAATGACTAATAAAAATCGTGTGCGTAGATTTCGGATTCGATGTCAATGAGTGCTAGCCCCGGAAAAATATGGGGTTGTCCAAAACGGATGCAGGAAAGTAAACGCATATTAAAACAAGAAAGATTGATATTCAAATCAAGTTGGGTACTTTATTTTGAAGGTTCATTTATACCATTTATGTATGAAAAATAATATTGCTCAAATGTTCACCACGACTGGATTTACAGACGTCCAAGCGATGGTCGAAATTTTCAATGAAATTTTGCAACATGGTCGGTTCTATGGCATTTATCTCGGCAATGATGTTGTTTCTGAGTTCTTGGCGGGTGGCTGGTTTGTTGACGTAGACTTTGCTTTTCAAATATCCCCATAAAAAGAAGTCCAAGGGAGTCAAATCGCACGATCTTGGTGGCCATGGCACATTTCCTCTGCGCGAAATCACGCGATCACCGAAGAAGGACTGCAATCGATGGATATTGACGTTGGTTGTGTGGCATGTTGCACCGTCTTGTTGGAAATAAACATCGTCCATATCCATTCCTTCAAGTTGCGGCAAAAAATAGTCCTCTATCATCACTTGGTATCGCTCAGAATTGACGGTAACTGCGTCCCCGGCCGCATTTTCGAAAAAGTAAGGTCCGATGATGCCTTTTGACCACAATGCACACCACACAGTCACTTTTTGAGGATGCATCGGCTGCTCTTGATACTCACGGGGATTTTCGTTCGTCCAGATGCGGCAGATTTGCCACAGAACCTGTTGCCTCGAATTTACGCACCAGACGACCGATGGTTGTTTCGTTTGGGCGGTTGTTGCGACCGAAATGTTCACGAAGCGCGCGAAACGTGTTTTTTATTTTTGCACCATTTTTGTAGTGCTGTTGAATAACTTTAATGCGGTCTTCAATCGAATACGACTCCATAGCGATCAATGGTAAACATTCAACTAACAAAATCACTTGTCGGTGACAGAAAACAAAGATGGCGTCTATGTCAAATTGACGTTTACTTGCCTGCGTCCCTATTGGACAACCCTTTAGTTTCTTGCCAATTTTTCACCCTAAACCCGGACCCGAATTTTGCCACTATGATATTCATATTCAGCGCCCCAAATTACCTTGCTGCGCGAAGTTTTATTGACATGTAGACAACAATAATATGTTAGATTTTTAGCATCTCAAAGTTGCGAAAAACGTATAGTTTTGCACTTTAGATTTGAATGATAAACGACTTCGGATTCGGTTTTTCGCGACATAAAATACGTACAATAGAGGTGATTTGAACCGCATCCAAAGCATTTTAATTTTTAGTTATTATTGTTACAAAAAAGGTAAAAAATGGGTCGGTCGGGGATTCTTATAATACGTTTTTTGGGTCGCTGAAGCTGAATCCGGGGCTCATTCAATCCAAAAATACCTCGTTGTCTAGATACTGGCTAATCTTCTACTTTGTCAAAAAACTGGCTAATTAAAAGTCTCCTAAAACCGTTTGGCGTTTATGATCTAGATATAAATGTTTTCTAGGTAAATCGGGCGCGTAAATTCAATGCCATTTCGGTGCTAGGAATCACGGGCAGCTTCAGATAAGCAATTTTTCTCCCCAAATCCGGTCTAATGACACTTTAGAATTAAATACATATTATTAGATACCATTTTCGCGTTGCCTTAGAAACTGTATTTTCAATAACAAATTCCACTACATACTGACTAGTAAGTCGTTTTTAGACTTAAACATACTCATATAATTCAAACGGAAAATTACTAGTTTAGATTGTTGTGCTACAGCATAAAATTTAATTGTCCTAGAATTCGCATGAAGCTAAGATAAGCAATGAAAACTTTTACGTCAGGTAGGTTGACTCTTGCCAAAAATTCTTAACCACTATTTTTATGCGAATATATAAAATGATTTTTTTGATTTTACGGCCACCCTTTATGTCCATTATACAGGGTGTCCCAAAAAAGTGTGCAATATTCTATCAGCGGTTTCTAGAGCTTAAAATAGTAAGAAAAGTTTATATAGACATAGGTCGACAAACGTCCCCTAAGGGCTTTTAAAGGGGCTCCCATGAAGATGGTTTTTCCGTAATATTTCCGAAACGTGTTGAGATAAAGACATAAAATTTGGTATTCTGGCATAGTTTTTTATGCTGGATTCAAAAATATTAACAATTTTAGACAGTTTTGTTTGGAAGCGTATGTAACAGGGACGGACTCAGGTTATTTTAACCTCAAAATTTTTGGGAATTTATTTGAATACTTATTGTAAAGCTAGTTTTAAGTATATCCAACTGTATGTCTTCTTTTTTAAACAAATTTCAATTTCGTTCGTAGAAAAAATTTATTGCTTTTGTTTTTGGCGAAATTTTAGCTATGTTGCAATAGAAATATGTATTTATGTAATATTTACCAATTATTAAATTAGTTTTTTCATTGCCATTGCTAATTATTCAACAATTCATTGAAATTCGCAGTACATTTCCTATCATGTGACAAATTTTTTAGTTTGATTTTATTCAAAAATGGCACAATTTATCGATATTCAGTATAAGTACGGTTTTTATATAGAAAACCCTAAATTTTCAAATTCTAAAATTGAAATTCAAAAATAGAATCACACAAAAATTTTGGGGCTAAAATAACCTGAGTCCGTCCCGGTTACATACGCTTCCAAACAAAACTGTCTAAAATTGTTAATATTTTTAAATCCAGCATTAAAAACTAGGCTAGAATACCAAATTTTATGACTTTATCTCAACACGGAAATCCATCTTCAGGGAAGCCCCTTTAAAAGACCTTAGCGCTCTTAAGGGACGTTTGTCGACCTATGTTTATATGAACTTTTCTTTCTATTTTAAGCTCTAGAAACCGCTGGTAGAATATTGCACACTTTTTTCGGGACACCCTGTATATTTTTTTATTGAATAAACGATTGTTCGTTGTTTAGTTAACTTCCTACTTGAAAATCCGTAAAACCTTAACAACCGAATTCATAGGAACATTAACCTGTTTAAACGTCCTACATCTCTTTATTTCAGGATACTGTTTCGAAAAGTATTCTTAATACTGTTCGTATGATTATTTCGTATAGATGACGCGATTTTTTTTCAATCGTAACTTGTTAACAAATAATAGTACGACTCTTGAAATGTATATCAAAATTCATTTTTTATAGTACAATTGACCTAGTGGTTACTTTTTTATCATTTTTTCCTACAAGAAATCTCGCATGAAAACCCATTTTATGGCAAATTGAGATTTCAAGAGGACCAAACAGGTTTTGAAGAAACAAATTTCAGAGCTGCTAAAAAGTTACGATTGAGGGAGAAATTCACAAAAAGCACCAAGAATGCATTCAAGACAAAACAAATGATAAGATTCTATACGCACCACAAAATTATCAAGAATGCAGTTGAAAAAAATGACAAAAAACCACTCACCGAGGTTTTCTTATAGTTGTTCATCGTCTTCTGCTCGAACTTCAACGTGTCCACGACGTTGGTGGGCGATCCGATCTCTGACGGCACCGGAGTATCGTCCGGAAACGTGACCAGCGGCTCGTCCATGTCGACGACGTCGTCCGCGTCCACCAGGTTCTCGAGGGAGCTTTTCAGTTTGATCAGCGTGTTCGGCAGGCTGCTCTTCATGTCGTTCAGGTTATTCTTCAGTTCCACCAGGTCGGATTTCATGTTCGAAGCTTTGAGGTCGCTGGTGACGTGCACCCTTTGGTGGCTGGTCGCACTGCTCGAGGTCGAGGTCGTTTTGCTTACGCGAGTCGTTGTCGTACTGCTCTGGTTACTCGTCTGCAGCTGGTTTATATGGAAGAATTGACTAGAGTGAGTATTTTTGGACGGTCGGTCGGTATGATGTGTGAATGTATTTTTAGGAGGATTTTCACCGGAATTTGTATATACATTTGTACGTGGGTTGGCCGATTGCCTAGGTTGGCGTATCGGGAAATACGCCATGGCCGTATCAACGAGGGGGTCACAAGGTACGGGTGCGCCATCTATTACTTTTTTTACCTATAAGCTTGTGTCATTTATAGTTATGGATTCGTTTACAACACAACAACGCATTTTGGTTATCCAAACTTATTAGGGGCCGTTCAAGTATTACGTAAGCAGATTTATTACAATTATTTACCGCCCCATCCCCCTTGTCAGCAAAAGTAAGCAAAGCTCGTACTCCCTTCCCCCATGCTTACGTAAACATTTGTCTCTAGAATCCCCTACCCCCCATGTCATCCAAAATAAGCAAAGCAAAGATTTTCGGCCAAAGTGCTTTTTTCTGATGAGGCTCATGTTCACCTCAATGGGTACGTAAATCAGCAAAATTGCAGATTCTGGAGGCTGAGAGTCCACAAGAATATCATGAACAACTTCTCCAGCCTGTTTGGTGCGGATTATGGGCTGGTGGCATCGTTGGGCCATTCCTCTTTCAAGATGCTGAAGAAAAGGCCATTACCGTCAACGGAGAACGTTATCGCGGCATGTTAACAGACTTTTTGTGGCCACAATTGGATCATACTGGTGCTGACGATCTTTGGTTTCAAGACGAAGCAACGGCTCACGCATCTCAGCAAACAATCGTCTTATTGCACACGAAATTTCTAGACCGCATAATTTCACGAAATGCAGATGTCAGTTGGCCCCCGAGATCGTGCGATTTAACACCTCTTGACTATTTTCTTTGGGGATTTTTGAAAGGAAATGTATATGCGAATGGTCTCCGGACAATTCAAGACCTAAAGCGCAATATTCGGACTGAAATTGCGGTCATAGACCCGATTACTGTGGGAAAAGTCATTGAAAATTTTGATGTTCGGATGTTGGCCTGTAAACGAAGCCGCGGTGGTCACATGACTGATGTCATTTTTCATAAATAAATGGCATAAACCAACCTTCATTTATCAATAAAAAAATTCGATTTCACCTCGTAAAAAGCGTGTTGATTTTTCAAATAGAAAAAAAGTAATAGATGACGCACCCTGGAAGGGTGCTATGATTTTTCAAAACGAACAGAGTTTACAAAATCAAGGCTATGCAGATGACTATATTCGGGTAGTTGGAAAATGCTATGCGCTTTGAGGAACAAGAAGAATGGCAGTGACTGAATTGTGAGCTTTTGTTGAAACTAACTATAAATTGAACAAAAAAGGATCTTTTCATACGTTTTTTATGAAAGGTGACTCAGAAAGAGTTATGGAATAATTTTGTATTTTTTCAAATAGTGAGAATAGTTCCTTTGTTTCTAATTTTAAGTATACAGGGTGGCACAACGAAAAGGTCGCACCCTTATTTGTGACCCTCCTGGTACAGTTTGGGAAAAACGTTCAGATACGTCAATTGTGATCCCTAGGGGGACGTTTTTTCATCTCAAGCCATACAATACAGGATGATCCAAAAATAAGGTATTGCGATACATTTTAGAATTAAATCGAAACCTCCGGTTTTTTTTAATCTTTAGATTTTCGAAGTGTTTAGTAACTTTTCTATGATAAAATTTATACCTATATTCAATCGCTGTGAAGCTATTTGAGTTGATAAGAGCATTACAGGTTTTTTTTTCGTTTCCTCCAATACATCTAAAAATACTGATGTCACAGTTTTGACAAATGTAAACATGAAAAATCTACATTTTAGTGGGCAAAAAATAGTGCTATCACTGGCGTGCTAGTATCCTACAATACTCACTCAGAAAAACTAGTACGCCATTGACGTGCCTCTATTTCATTGGACGGAATGGTCAGTTCAAGATGAAATAATGATATGACCTTAACGTAATGAAGTATAACAAAATATACACCCAGTTTAAATGGTTTTATTTTAATAAAATTTTGTATAAGTACTTAATGAAGCATAATAAGTAAATGATAAAAATTTCAAAATGATTGCACTGCTTTAAAGCCCTTTGACCTTTAATAATGTGTGGATGCACCCTGATGTGCTACGCATTCTCCAACGCGCCTAGGCATGCTTCTGATCAGGTGGTCAATGTCCTCCTGAGGTATCTCATTCCAGGCAACCACCAACTCCTCTCGAAGTGCTTCTAGAGTCTGAGGAGGACGTTGCAAATTGAGCAATCTTCTACCCATCATATCCCACACGTGCTCAATTGGGGATAAGTCGGGAGATCTTGGTGGCCATGGTAACAATGTGACATCATTATGTTGAAAGAAGTCTATTGTGACTCTTGCAACATGTGGTCGGGCATTATCTTGTTGGGAAGTTGGATCTGCCAGGGTGTCAAGATAGGGTAGAAGATGGGGTTCTAGAACTTCGTGGATATAACGCTGCGCGTTCATGTTACCTCAGATGAAGATTAAAGGTGACCTGGAACCATAAGCTATAGCACCCCAAACCATAACTCCAACAGTGTGATGAACATGTCTTTCAACAAAAAACTGTGGATTCCTCCTTTCACCACGTCGCCTTCTAACCCTGGCACGACCATCGTGCATGCCTAAACAAAATCGAGACTCGTCACTAAAGACAATACTGTTCCATTCCTGATCCCAGAGTGACCGTTGTCTGCACCACTCAAGGCGATTACGTCGGTGTTCTCGAGTTAAAGGGAGGACCCAGTGTGGCCGGTATGAAAACAAGCCAAAACTTCTCATTCGTCTGTCAACACTTCGCATGCCAATACGTCTTGCGTGTTCTGCAAACCATTCATTTGCAATGGACCTGGTAGTGGAGAAACGGTCCCTTAAGGCCAATAATCTTAGGCGGCGATCTTCAGGGTCTGTTGTTCTACGGCGGCGTCCAGTGCCCCTTGCTCTTTGCGTACGGCCTTCTCGAAGCCATGCCTGACAACACCTAACCACAGTGTCTACACTTCTTTGCACTCTAACTGCAATTGCCCGAAAAGAAAGTCCAGCTTCCCGAAGTCCCACTATACGGCCCCTATCAAACTCACTAAGTTGACGAAATCGTACAGGTCTCCGTACTCTAGGCATCGTAACCGATCGTAAAGGATGTCAAGAACCAAAATCCGCCAACGTTGATTCTTTACTGCGGCTGAAATATTCATTTTTAGAGCGCTGGTGAATTAAAAAATAGCAGTATAAAAACCGGAATGTCCAACTGATAAGGCTGAACATTTTTTCACTTGTTATTTACAGTAAGATAAATACATTCACCAACTTTTAATAAAATAAAACCATTTAAACTGGGTGTTCGGATTTATATGTCACTTAGTATATGTAGTAGTAGTGACGGAAGGGCGAAGTCAGGCCCTTTTGTCGACTCCGAGTGTACCAACAGTCTACTAGTTAGTTCTCTGATCTGTCGAACCTTCCTGATCTCCAAATGAAGGTCAAGAGGTTCGACCATTTCGCTGAATAAACAATTTCTGAGCCCTTAGGGTGCAATAACCGGTCAAAAGACCAGAAAGCGTCCTCCTTCCAGCACACAAGGCAGGTTGGATCTCCACCCATCCATAAAAGGGATAAGCGTCCGTTCAGTCTGCAGTGGCCGAGCGGTTCTTTACCCCTGTCCAATATCCAGCGCGTTCGACGTTTGTCAAGTCTTGTTATAAACCTCTGGACCTGTCTGCAATTAACTTTCTCAAGCCTAGACTATGCTGATGAGTAGCCAAAGAGCACGAAACTGCTGTCCATGGTTGCCTGTCTCTTGAAAGCATCATGTTTAGATTGTGTTATGGCAAGTAGACAACTTCTACTATGCAGCCAGAATCGTCGGCCATCTAGCGGTCACATAGGTTATTAAACGCCAACTGGAATCTTTAACTAATAGCATCTCCCGCGGTGGCTGATTTTGGTGATAGATGGCGCTTGACGCTGTTTTATTCCAGATGAAGATATTTAGAAACCACTTTGGATCTATTTTACATCGTGGTATATGATACGATATTATATTTTTGTATTAAACGATTTTTCTTTGTATACCTAACTAAAACACATCACACCATGCATATTAGACTTGAATGAATGTATCTATAAGCGATTTCCATTTTTTCAGAAATAGTGTTTTCTGCAAAATGCATAGACGGCACTAAATACAGCTTAACTAAGACAAAACAAGCAAAAATAGTTCAAACTCACATGGTCCCCAGACATGGAACGATTGACCATTTTGCCTTCATTAGGTCCATAGCGCTGAGAAAGAAAAATATTTTATAATAATCTTCAGTCAACTACTTACAAAGAGGGAAATTCAATATCTTTAAAAAGGTATTTTAACGGTTTTAGCAAGTAATATACGAGGCTTATTCAAGGCTTTAGTCAAGTTAGCCTTTTAAACAATCTAATCACTTATCTGACGCTTCCAGTTCCTGTCATTTAAATTTAACTGCGATTTTGAGTGTTGTGACCTGAAAATACTGTTTGTTGTTAACAATCCGTCCAAATAAATTCAGCGTGCAATCAACAATCTCGAGAGTGGAAGAGAGGAGACGAACGATAAGCCAGGTCGTACTGCGTCAACAGACAGGAATGTGGCATGTGTGAAAGGCATGCTTAGAGAAAATCGTCGAATTACAATCAGGGCAATGTCAGAAAATTGGTCTTCATGTTTATAAAGCCAGCGATATTTGTTATGTGAGAAAATTATTACTGAATAAGCTGCCCGACGGTTCTTTATTCACGGTTATCTTCGACTTCGACAAACACCGATAATGTGACTCGTACGCGCAAAGTTTTGAACACAGACCGTCGACTAAGTATTCGTTTAACTGCCCAGATGTTAAACTCACCAAAATATGTGGTTCATGACATTGTGACACAGCATTTGAACATGCGCAAGGTATGCGCGAAGATGGTGCCGAAATTGCGGCGAGTGGAAGTGTGCCAAGAAAATTTGAACATGTGTGACAGTGACCCCCAATTTTTGAATAACGTAATCACAGGTGACGAGTCGTGCATCTTTGAGTATGATCCCGAGACAAAGAGGCAATCTTCCGAGTGGCACACGACGGCCCAAAAAAGGGAAGAATGAGCAAATCCAAAGTGAAAACGATGCTCATTGTCTTTATCACATCAAAGGCATCGTCCACCATGAATTTGTTCCTCCTGGACAAACCGTCAACGCCAAGTTTTACGTGGAAGTGCTCAGGAGACTCAAACGAAGGGTCAGTCGGGTCCGAAAAGACATCGCAGCCGACTCAATGCTTGGAAATCGCGCTGGCAGCGCTGCATCGACGCAGAAGGAGCCTATTTTGAGAGTTTTTAAAGAATTGTAACGATTGGCTCAATAAATGTTTTTAAATCGACTCGGTCCTATTACTTTCCGGACAAACCCTGTATATTGTCTTTTCTGAAGACAGGTTTCACCGCAGACGAGAGGGGGCGGAGCTCCTCGCCTTATCGTACAATATTTTGCAGCGTCAACACCGCACGACCATCGATCTATGAACCGCAATGCATTTCCGTCCCGCTGTGCCTACATTTACCCTCCGCTTCGGCAACGGTCTCCGCATAATCCGACGATCGAGCGGTCGGTCTGTTAACCGTCCGTTGCTACGCGCGGTGTTCGGCCGTCGTCGGCTGTCTCCGGCTGCGGAGACCGGAGAGACGCCAGACGCGTCTGGAACGTTCGACCGCATGCAGACACGGCCAGTGTACGGACGGAGACGGTGCGTTTGTTCCGCTTGACAGCAGAAAGCGGCATGTCGTTCAAGATGGATTCCGACGACGAACCTTTCACCAAGTGAGTAGTGCTATTGTAGACTACTTATGTAGTAGATATTAGCGGATAATACAAAGCTACCAGTAGAAGGGAGACTCGCGAAAAATCCTTTGCACTTCTGATTGCTAAAATATGCTGACGTTTTTCTGATGATTCTTTGTTTAGTACTGCGCTCTTTTTTTATTGCTTCATACAGGGTATGGCTGTCGTACTTTGGCGCACGTACGTAATATTACGTATGTTTACAGAGGAATTCATGTCGTTATTGTTTGTATGTGTAAGTTGAAAAATAGTTTTTTGCTTTTACGTTACTGACTGGCGGTGATTCACCTGTAGTACTGTCTTATTTGTTAATAAATAATTTTTTCTGGGTGTAACACTTCTAATGTGACTGAGTATATATCGAAATAGGAGCCATCTGTTACCAGAATCGACCACCGCGATTTGTTTTCACTGTCGCATTGGTCGATTCTGGTAATATACAGGGTGTCCGCAAAGTTGGGGTTTTCCTTTACACGACGAATCTAAGTAATTTTTCTTAGTACCATATACACCAATGTCTTAAGGGAACCGAGATAAAGGGCTCTGCAACATCAAAAATATCTGAATACCGTCCTGTAGCCGCGACCCGCGACATCACCGAGTGGTACGAGGTCACTAGCTCAACCCGACGACAGAACTGGGTCGGGGTCAGTGTGTCAGGTCAGTATGCAACCTTCAACCGACGGTTACGGTCACGCGTGTAGAGATAATCGCGTAGACGAGAATCCCTCAACAAGCACTAGAGACGTGGCTAGAGAAGTGCAAGTATCAAAAACTAAAGTGTGGCAAACGCTGCGTGCAGAGGGGCTGTATCCGTTTCACGTCCAACGTGCACAAGCCCTTCAACCTAACGATTTTCCAGCAAGAGTGCGGTTTTGTGAGTGGTTGTTGCATCAACATGACAATAATCCGGACTTTTTGAAGTGCATATTGGTGACAGACGAATCTACGTTCACGCGTAATGGGGTGAATAACTTTCGCAACACTCATGTTTGGTCAGTAGAAAATCCGCACGCTGTCCGTCGGGCACATTTTCAACAAACATTTTCGGTGAATGTTTGGGCTGGCATGGTGAACGGTATGCTCATTGGACCATTTATTCTCCCAAATCGATTGGACGGGACCTAGACTTTTTACGCAACATTTTGCCTTCCTTGTTACAAGATGTGCCATTAAGTGTAAGACAATCAATGTGGTTTCTGCACTATGGTGCACCGCCCCATTTTAGACGCGAAGTGCGTGAGTTTTTGAATGAATTATTTCCGAATAGGTGGATCGGATGTAATGGACCAGTAGCGATCTCCAGACTTAACACCATGTGATTTTTTTCTTTGGGGAGAAAACGCTTAGTGTACAAAACTGAAGTGCATACGGTTGACGAACTTCGTCTCAGAATTGAACAAGCTGGTGCTTTTATTCGGGGGAGGGACTCCATTCTCAAAGCCTGCACCGATGCTCGGCACCGTGTTTTTGAATCAAACGGCGATAACTTCGAACAATACCTATAAAGTACGTTTACCTAAAAACTGAAAACGCGGCACACGCCGTCATATTTGTTACCTCTGTTCGTGGGATTTCATTTTCTGTTGAAGCGGTACGATTTCGGGCAGAGACGTACTTAGCCCTTCTCGTCAACTGGAGAGTGAGTACTTTTTCCTTTATTTTTTTTTTACTTGGTCGCCCTCGTTTCACTACACATTACCTTTGTTATTTCAAGGGTATTTCTTTCTGAAAAGGAAAACCCCAACTTTGCGGACACCCTGTATGGTATTTCACTTTGTTCTGTCTTATTTATTTCGATTAATCTATAGATGAGTTAATGTTCGGTGCCGTCAAAAAACTTTACTGTCGCACAAATTGTAGGAATAAATTAAATATTGCCTGGGTTATTAAATAGCCCTGAAAATGTTACTGATACGAAATATGTGGAAAATACTGACATTGCTTTTACATAGGTTGCGTATCAATACGGAACGTGTAATAAAAGCAGTAGAAAGGCAGCCATGCCTCTGGCAAACGACCCATCCCGACTACAGAGATCGCGAGCGTAAACAAGACGCATGGAAGCAAGTTTCTGAGATGGTCGTGCCAAAGTTTAGCAACCTAAACGAGTTTGAGAGGAGTAATGCAGGTGAGCGTTATTTGTAGAAATGCGCCATTAATCGTGTTTCCTATTGGAAGAAATTGCTTGAATAAGTTACCTGATTTCTACCTCACTTTAAATTCCCAAATTCCAGTATCATGTTTCGATTTTCAAAGTCAATTTATTTGAGACTAATCTACCGAATAGTTGATTTGAAAAAATTGACCAAAATAAAAATGATTTCCTGCGATTTTAGATAAAATTCGATAATCCATTCGTGCTGAAACTAGAGAAAAGCTAAATTAAAAATAGTAAATGAATGAATGTATCATTTGAAATATTAAAACGATCTAGACATGTAACTTATACTTTATCTGAAGTCAATTGAAATAGCATAAAAACCTTTGGTCGGCGCGTCCTTTGTAATTTCATGACGTATCACAGGCGTGCGGTCATTTATTTAGAACGATAATAATAATGTTTTTATATCACAATAAATGGATTTTACTATCTTCTTATTTTTTTGATTTGGGATAAAAAATACTTATATTGGGAGTTTAATTTATGTTGACTGAAAGTTAAGAAATGGAAAAATTACAGAATTCCAACGTTTGACATAGGCAAATATTTACATAGCAGGTAGGTATATAAAGACTTACATTATAGGTATTTATATATCATCCTCGTCTTCGGAGCTGTCGCTAGAGTCATCTTGTAGAGGAATTACAACGGGATTTACAGGAGGCAAAACACAATATTCATTTTCTTTTTCAATAATATGCCTAGAACACTGCTTCCATAGGTCTGTGGCAGCAATATGAGATACTGCATCTCTTATTGTGGCCAATAGCGATTCACTTAATTGAGGGGTCTGATTATGTTTTCTTACTTTTTTTTTTAAAGCAGCCCAGACCAACTCACTCGGGTTAAAAATGCAGTAATAGGGAGGTAGACGTAATACTTCATGGCCATTTTGCTGAAGCAGATTGTCAACAACATACTCTTTTTCAAATTTTTGTCTTTTAATAAGATCCAATAATATGGCTTTGGTTGATTTTTGTGGTATTTCCATTCCCTTATCCTTCATAAAATCAATAATGTCTTGTTTTTTTGTGCCTGTATTCGGAATTTTGTTTCTCTGTCGGGAATGGTATGGCGCATTGTCCATAATAATCACTGAATTTGGGGAAATGTTTGGTGTTAACTGCTGCTCTATCCACTTTTCAAATAAGTCGGAGGTCATGTCCTCATGATAGTCGGCACATGATTCTTTGATATTTTTGGCAGGTAACAGCAAGGCATTAGGTATAAATCCATTTTCACTGCCAGCATGGAGAATAATGATTCGTTTTCCACGGTTGCATGGTGCATTTAAAATGCACTTGTTGCTGTCGTCAACCCAGCCGTACTGCACAACATCATGGGTATCATACCACGTTTCATCCAGATAAATCAGATTTCTTTTCCGCTCTCTATAGATTTTAACTTTGTGCAAAAATTCTTGGCGCAATTCAACGATTCGAGACGACTCCATAATCACCATTCTTTTATCTAATTTTTTGTATTGAAAACCACACAGTTTTACAATACAGTGCAGTGAGTCTAAGCATTTGTAATTATAAAAATCTTCAGGATAATCTTTTAATTTATCCCGTATCATTTCCAACGTGGGCACCAAATTTTCTTTATTAAATCCGTATATTATACGAAGAATATCTTCCTGAAAACCCACGTCTATTCTTTTTAATTTTTGCCCTATGCGCTTTCTGTGGAAGGAATGGTTAACTACATCTCCCCTTTTTATAACCCGATAAATGGTAGACCGACTGATTTTTGTCAGGATACAAATTCTGTTTAAAATTTGATTTTGCGAGGAATCTGGATTTTCGTTTTTCAGACAATCGTACATATTTAGGATTACTCTTTGGGTCTGTTCCTCTAAATCTTTATGAAAGAATTCTGCCTGCACAGGTTCATCAACCATCTCCTCGTGGCTTGGAGCATTTTCCCAAGGTCTCCAAAGAGCCATATTTAGGACACACAAGAACAATCAACACAACAATTAAATCAACAAATAAACTGAGTATTCAAAAGTCAAAAACACACAAACTAATAAAATCTATGAAAAAACACGGACAGGCTAAAGAAAACACGTTTATTCACCGCTACACGGCACTGGCTAAACTGTTTCAATTTTCAGTAGCCACCTGCACTTGTTCGGAGCTCTGAAATACACGCTTTCTCATTGGCTATGTCCACGCATAGGCGTGCTTTACTCCACGTGGACCGGTGAAACTGCCTTTGATATTTGCTGCGAAATTTGGCGATTTTTGCAGCAACAGAGCGTGTTAAATATAGATATATAAAACGCACCCGGTATTTCACAGTGTTTCAAGTGACTTCAGATAAAGTATACGTTCTTTGAATATACTACTACTATTTGTGACTCTCCTGGTATATTTTGGGAAAAAAGCTCCGACACGTCAATTTTGATTTCTAGGAGGACGTCTTTTCATCTATAGCCGCACAATACAGGGTGATCCAAATAAGATACTGCGTTACACTTTTGAAACCTTTATTTTTCTAATTCTTAGTTTTCCATGCAGTATTTAGTAACTTTTGTATAATGAAGTTGATGCCTATCTTCAATCGTTGTGAAGCTTTTTGAGTTTATAGAAAAATACTAGAAATTGCGATAATAAGCGAGTATATCGTAAAAATAATAATCATAGCAGCAAGACTGTGAATGTGGTAATGAGTGCTGAAAGTGGTGTCCCTTTGCCTCCATGCAATAATAAAGATTTGGGCCAACGATTAGCGGACCGACAGACATAAAGACAGATCAACGAAAATGAGTGACATTGTTTTTCATGATGTAAACATCATATGACATCAAAAAAAAATACCTCATTTTCTAATTTTGTTCGCGATTATCAGTAAAAACAACACAACATGGATGCTAATTTAAACTGGATTATAACTAAATATTGAATTATTCTTTACAGAAAGGTACGTTCGCTCGAGATGGAGGACGGCACGAGACGCCTACAACAAAGCGAAAAACGCTATGCAAGAATCCCTGACGAATCCAAACGTAAAAGTGCGAAAATACATACACGCCAAACGAATGCAGTTTCTTGAAGTCAACTCGAGAAGGAGCGATGACCCTCCGCAACCGCAAATTATGACTTTCAAAGAAGAAGACAACACTTTCAGCGGCGAAGATAACGAACTGTCCAACGATGGTAACGGCTCCATAAACATGACCGTCGAATCGAACTTACTGGAGGAGGACGACGCGGGCGATGATCCGTTTACCGAAACGGCAGTCAGACCCGGCAGTTCGTGTAGCGATATCAGCACCAACAGGCAAATGAACGACGAAAACGGTGGAGTTAATCGAAGAAAACAGTTTGGAATCGGTACTGATGTCGTGGAGATGCTCAGAAACGACGACTTGGCCTTTTTTGTTTCGCTGTTGCCGATGATATCGAACTTTGACGTTGACGAGAAACTGTCATTGAGGAGTGACATATTGAAACTGGTCGCGGGTATACGGAAAGTGAAGCGAGAACGAAAATATGGTACGGATCAGGAAACCATGACAGCCAAATCGTTTGTTTAATCTCTTTTAATGTAGAATATTTTTGGAATATAACAAACATCTTCAAAAATTATTTGTTTCGTTTAATCCTGGTGATATCTGGAACGACGGAAGAAGAAGCGTAGCTAACATGTTGTTTAGTCGTCTTAGTTTTTCTTCTGGATGCAACCAATAAATTTCTTGCATAAATTCTTGAAGTTGAAACCTCCAAGAATCCATTTCACTTTTGTAAAATGTTCTACGACTTTTTCTTGGGCAAGAACAGTTGTTTAAATAATTCGTCTATGGGATAAACAATTAGCTTTTTACGTAAATTATTACTAGCCGATCGGAATGAAATTTAGCACACATATCAATACCAACGACAAGGATATTTTCAAGGTAGTGCATTCTCACCTTATTCATTCCTTATAATGGGTGATTTTTTTGCTAGTATCTTTTTGGCAACACTGTTTTTGACAGATGACGCGTGAATCGGGTCTTGTGTCATTGTAAAACTTGTTCAGTTTGGTCTATAATTTAACCATGAATCGACTTACGCTTGCAAATTATTGAATTTTACTATCAAAATTCATGATCGGTTAAGAGAGTGCATCGAGCACTGCTTCCAATTTATGGGCAATTTGGTCGGCCTACTGAGGGAGCTATTCGGAAGCTTGTGACTAAATTTCGAACCCAGTTTACATTATTGGACATTGGACCACCAACACGCACACGTAAAGTGAGGACTGAAGAAAATATTGCGGCTGTATCCGCCAGTGTTAGTGATGACCTTGAAATGTCGATTCGCCGCCGTTCGCAGCAATTGGGCCACTACGTGGAAAATTTTGCGACAGGATTTGGGTGTAAAACCTTATAAGATACAGCTGGTGCAAGAATTGAAGCCACACGACACCCCACAACGTTTCCAATTTGGTGAATGGGCGCTGGCAAAGATGGAGGCAGATCCACATTTTTATCGAAAAATTGTGTTCAGCGACGAAGCCGATTTCTGGTTGAATGGGTACGTTAATAAGCAAAATTGCCGCATCCGGAGTGAAGACCAGCCAGAAGCATTGCAACAGCTACCAATGCATCCCGAAAAAATCACTGTTTGGTGTGGATTATGGGCCGGTGGCATCATCGGGCCGTACTTCTTCAAAGACGACAATGGCCGGAACGTATCTGTGAATGGCGAGCGCTACCGTGCGATGATAACAAACTTTTTTTTGCCCAAAATGGAAGAGCTGGACTTGGCTGACATGTGGTTTCAACAAGACGGTGCCACATGCCACACCGCACACGAAACAATGGCGCTATTGAGAGGCGAGTTCGGTGAACAGTTTATCTCACGTTTGGTCGCCTAGATCGTGTGATTTAACGCCGTTGGACTATTTCTTGTGGGGCCATGTTAAGGCTAATGTCTACAGGGATAAACCAGCAACGATTGACGCACTGGAAGCCAATATTGAAGCATTTATTCGTGAGATACCGGCCGATATGTTGGAGAGAGTGTGCCAAAATTGGACCTTGCGCGTGGGCCATGTAAAGCGGAGCCGCGGCCAACATTTACATGAAATAATCTTTAAACATTAAATTATATCGACCGTTCTATCGACTCAAATAAAGATTTAATCGTTTTTTCAAATTTTTTGTGTTTTTTTTAAAATCAAATCCTATACCTCTTAAAAAATCACCCGTTACATGCGTAGAGGTACTAATGAGTCTAATACATCCGAATTACTGTTTATAATATTCATATAATATATTATATGATAATCGTGATTCACAAAAGGCTTCTTGTCCACAGCAAAATTACAGTCGATAAAGAAGGAATTTAATACGATCAAATAATTTGTAATTATAAAGTCTTATTGATTAAAATAAAAATAAAGAATTTGAATTAAAAAAGACCGTAACTTTAACTGGACGTATGGAAAAATGGCTGTGTCAGTATATTCCATAGTTACCTATCTCCATGCCGGGGGTATGTGTCCCGAATTATCATGAAAATATCTAATAATAAATTCTCATCGACTAAAATAAAAATAACAAATTTTAATTCAGAAAACAAGACCGAAAGTTTTATCAAATAGAAATTTGGGAAAAACTAATTTATAAATCGAACTAAAAATGAAATATAAATAATAGTTTAAGCCAATAGAATGATTGTAAAATTTAATATATCAAGCACCTCACGTTTTTACTCTGCATTGAGTTATTCTGCCAATAACTCAAATTTTATTATAATTTTATTTTGAGCTCATACTGTAATATCTTTGAAATTAAAAACTATACTAAGTGACATATAAATCCGAACACCCACTTTAAATGGTTTTATTTTAATAAAATTTTGTATAAGTACTTAATGAAGCATAATAAGTAAATGATAAAAATTTCAAAATGATTGCACTGCTTTAAAGCCCTTTGACCTTTAATAATGTGTGGATGCACCCTGATGTGCTACGCATTCTCCAACGCGCCTAGGCATGCTTCTGATCAGGTGGTCAATGTCCTCCTGTGGTATCTCATTCCAGGCAACCACCAACTCCTCTCGAAGTGCTTCTAGAGTCTGAGGAGGACGTTGCAAATTGAGCAATCTCCTACCCATCATATCCCACACGTGCTCAATTGGGGATAAGTCGGGAGATCTTGGTGGCCATGGTAACAATGTGACATCATTATGTTGAAAGAAGTCTATTGGGACTCTTGCAACATGTGGTCGGGCATTATCTTGTTGGAGAGTTGGATCTGCCAGGGTGTCAAGATAGGGTAAAAGATGGGGTTCTAGAACTTCGTGGATATAACGCTGCGCGTTCATGTTACCTCTGATGAAGATTAAAGGTAACCTGGAACCATAAGCTATAGCACCCCAAACCATAACTCCAACAGTGTGATGAACATGTCTTTCAACAAAAAACTGTGGATTCCTCCTTTCACCACGTCGCTTTCTAACCCTGGCACGACCATCGTGCATGCCTAAACAAAATCAAGACTCGTCACTAAAGACAATACTGTTCCATTCCTGATCCCAGAGTAACCGTTGTCTGCACCACTCAAGACGATTACGTCGGTGTTCTCGAGTTAAAGGGAGGACCCAGTGTGGCCGGTATGAAAACAAGCCAAAACTTCTCATTCGTCGGTAAACACTTCGCATGCCAATAGGTCTTCCGTGTTCTGCAAACCATTCATTTGCAATGGACCTGGTAGTGGAGAAACGGTCCCTTAAGGCCAATAATCTTAGGCGGCGATCTTCACGGTCTGTTGTTCTACGGCGGCGTCCAGTGCCCCTTGCTCTTTGCGTACGGCCTTCTCGAAGCCATGCCTGACAACACCTAACCACAGCGTCTACACTTCTTTGCACTCTAACTGCAATTGCCCGAAAAGAAAGTCCAGCTTCCCGAAGTCCCACTATATGGCCCCTATCAAACTCACTAAGTTGACGAAATCGTACAGGTCTCCGTACTCTAGGCATCGTAACCGATCGTAAAGGATATCAAGAACCAAAATCCGCCAACGTTGATTTTTTACTGCGGCTGAAATATTCATTTTTAGAGCGTTAGTGAATTAAAAAAAGTATAAAAACCGGAATGTCCAATTGATAAGGATGAAAATTTTTTAACTTGTTATTTACAGTAAGACATACATTCACCAACTTTTAAATAAAACCATTTAAACTGGGTGTTCGGATTATATGTCACTTAGTATATTTGCTCTTTTTTAGTTCGGTTAGTTATAAAAGCATGTTTTTTTAGTTTTTATTTATGTCTCTGTAGCCTGGGCTATAAGGAGATTACTTTATTTTATATTTTCAATCATTTTGATTTAATGCATTGTTAATGTGTTTATTACTCAATTATATCAGATGACAGGTAAATAATGGTAAAGTGATGTTGAGAAAACATATTAATGATTGAATCAAGACAAACAAACAGTAGCTTTAGGTTATAGAGTCGACCTTGCAAAAGAATTCACGCAGAAGGAAAAAAAAAGATGAATTAAAGTAATTAAGGTTGTTTTTAGTCTTCCATCGCTAACGAGCAATGTCACGAATGCCGTTAGTTGAGATTTACTAATGAAAAAAGCATACGGCAAACAATAGTGAGAATAATTAGAAATAAATAAATCTCTTTATTACTCGATTATTGCAGGTAATTGATAAAAAATGAGTCTCTAAATTATATTAATAGTACACATTGTTGAGACTTGGTATTCTCATGTAATCATATGTCTTAACTTTGTTTTAGCTTCTATAAAAATATGAACATACGATTAATAAAAGAACATAAATACCATTATCCCTAGCTGAAGTGGAACAAGATTGGGTGATTTCGTAATTTAGATTTTTGTGAAATTCGGCTGAAAACCACTTTAGCGTATACCGCAAAAATTTCATTTCTTATAAAACGAAAGATTTGGATGTAACTTGACAGAACATATCATTTTTTTGAGGATGTCTCTGCAGGCTATATTATATAACTTCAAAGTTGCGTTTTGGGTGGTAGTCTAGAATACTGTTTTTTACACAAAAGAATGCTCTAAATTATATTTGCGCTGGTCGGAAATTTCAGAAAGTCATTTGTAAACTTTGACCAACGATTCTGACATTATGGCACGAATTGGGTGGGTGCATCAATGGGATCCTGAGACAAAAACAAAATCCAAGCGCTATTGAGTTTCATCAGGAACGTGAGGAAAATTGAAGTATGTCTAAAAGTTTAGCACAAGATATTTATCGGATTTTTTAAGAAGAAATTCATTTAAACACTAACCTTATCATAAATTAACTAAAGTATACTATCGAACCCGGACGGAAATCAGATCAATTTCTGTGAGTTTTTCGTAAATTTGTCGTGCCAATTGTGTCTCATCTTGGGCTTTCCAGCCTCCATGATAAACCTTCCTAGACAGTAAAGCCCAAAAATCCTCAATTGGGCGAGCCTGCGCCAAGTTTGTAAGATTATCGTTTTTGGGAACAAAAGGTATGGTGTGTTGTCGACGCTAGTTTTGGGTATCTCTTGAGTAATAGCATGATGCTAGCTCTGTCCAAAACATGATATGGCATGATACTCGTGGACAAACTGAAGTAATTTGGTCTTAAGTCACCTGATTCACGAGCCCTTTGTACTACATTCAGCATTTTCGTAAACATGTGCCATTTTTTATTTCGTTTGAGGCACGCAACAAACACCACTATTCACTCACGCGTTACCGACTGACACATCGACTGAATACAACTGAATAAAATTGTATATTGTAGTAAAAACATCGTTTCAAATTCTTTCGCTTTTTTGTTTCCGATGCGATGAACCGATAAGGCGGATTATATCCGTTGTTGCCAAACACGAGCACATAACATAATATTATTATTGAGACAGGGCGGTACTCAAACTTCTAAAGGGCTATAACTTTGCTACTTTAATTTTACCACAAAAATGTTAAAGGATTTTTTGCTCTTATAAATAAATGTTAACTGACAGTAAAGTAAGTAAACAAACTTTTGTTACCAAAGGCAACATGATGCTATTTTGTGTTTGTTAAAATCAAAGCCAATGAATTTCGTACCAAAACTTTTCGGATATACGTTATTCCAACTTTCGTATTGTTACCTTTATGAAAAAACGCTCTTGGTGTTTATTTCAGCAACACTTTGGGATTACGAATTGTTTTTACTGACAAGTTGCAATTACATTTACAATAAATCTAGTTGCAAAGTAGGTACTTACAGACGTGGTAGTGACAGTCGACCTTGATGGATTTTTGATTAAAGTCTGTATGGAGGGTTCTGTTCCATTTGTGTTATTTTCTGTTGGCGATTCACTCGCCATCTGCAACAAGAGAAAAGGAATAATTATAAGTTACATGTACTTCCCTATGTAGGTTCAAGAAAAGTGGTAAACGTCAAAAGCAGATAAGGCATAAGTTACAATATATGAGAACGAATGTATCTCCTGTGTAGAACTGCAGCTGTCGGTTATACTTAGAAAGTTGACGGAAGACAGTTTATGGAAATAATAGTAATATTTATTTACTTCATTAACGGGGCTCCTACAATCACGAGCACGATCTGCTGAGGTAACGGGTGGGTGAGGAAACGAGGGTGGGCTGGTCTTAGACGGTCGTCAGCGCTACTCTAAAAGAGGAAAGGATCCGAGCGGTAATTTCCAAGTTGATGATGAGTGATACAGTTTTTCGTGATGTAGATGTCGAACATAACATATCATTTTAGAAATTTTTCGCGATTACAATACTTCCTCGGCAATGGCGTGGGAAGTAAAACGGTTTTAAAATCGAGGAGGATCAGCGATCGCGATTATGAGTACCTATTTGCAGAACGACTTATCTACGCGATGTTGTATGAAATAGGGCCACCAAATTATCTGAATACGCTTGGTTTGTAGACGTTTGCGCGCTTCGAAATTGACGCTTTATTTTTTGATATTTTTGGATGAAATTTTCACAGAGTGCTGAAAACAAAACCCCACAGGATGCTATAGAGCCGCTTTTTGATTTTTTTACTAGGTTCTTTTAAAAAAAATCGCGCAGTTGAACAGAAGAAGTGGGCACTTCAACTCATCATAAAACTTGTGCAAAAACAAAATTTCAAAAAGTGCTCCTATGTGATCCTAAGAATTCGATGTACTATGGTAAATAAACACAACGACAAAAAATTGCACCCTTTCCGTACGATCTGGTTTGAAAGTCACCTTCGTATGGGAACAAGTTAGTTATTTGAAATACCATAGACTAACCTTTAAGATAGCGACGCACATCAGGCGACGTATAGCAATGGTAAGATACCATATTATCGATAAATTGAAATGCACCTTCACTATAATTTGTGTTTAAAAACATACATAATGTTACCGTTAATGGAATCTTTTAATAACGCTTGTACGTAAATACAGTAATTCAAGTTATTATATGACTAGCACGGTTTTTTTTTGTTTGCCGCGGTGTAGTTCGCGCCTATTACAGCTATTAAGTAAATAATTGTAAATGCTTAAGAGATTCAGCTAATGAGTATTAAGAAAAAGCCTTCCTTAATTGAAAATATACTTTTGCGCCATTTGAATAATGACCGCAATACATTTAACAACGATAAATTAAGGAATATTATGGTTTTTCTGACGCTGGAATCAATAGAAATCAAAAGGTTCTGTCAGCTTCAAAAACGGTGTTCCTCAAGGTTCCATATTGGGTCCTTTACTCTTAGAGTCATTAATCAACGAAGATTTAACAAGACTAAAGATCGCGAGCTCGCCTAACCTAAAAATTAATCCATCTAAATCTTCAGTTATTGTTTTCGGCTCAAAAAACAAAAGAACATCGATTGAAACGAAAGTTAACCTAAAACTTGGGACTCTGGATTGACAGAACGAAAATACAAAAATGAATTCACATTATCATACTGCATTTTGAAGCAATTTAATCCCCATAGGCAAATAATGTCTACGTCACTAAACTGGAACTGAATTACGCAAAAAATCAGCTATTGTGAGTCTATATATGGTCCCGCTCTATGATATAGTGAACAAAGTAAATTACAGCTTATTCGGGGGTCAGTTTTTTGCGATATACGAAACTTTGATCATATTTCTCATAAATCTGAGGAGCTTGCTTGCTTCTGCAGATTAAAGGCATGCCAAAACTACACTTATTGACACGCACTCATAAGCTGTCAGCCACCAAACAACCACGATATTTGCACAAGAATATAATAGAAATATAGTATGTTAATGATTCATTCAATCAGTAAATCTTCAAAACTACTGAACTGAAGTACATCAATTTCACATCATTATAAAGGGAATTGAAAGACCTTTAAAATAAGGTATCGCTCGAACCCCATTTCCATTTAAGATTTTGGGGGTGGTGTCAACCCCCGCTTTTCCAAAAAAAAAACTGAGCTGCCAGTAAATGCTTCTGTTTCGTTTTTGATGCGCCACCCTGTATAATAATCTGCCTGTTACGTTCCAAAATTACACACTATTTAATTTTAAAAAGAGACATGCTGAAACTGCACGTCGAGGCCTGATGATGAAGACAAAATGCTGGAAATATGAGATATTGTTGTAATTGTAATTTCGTCATTAATAAATTAGTTATTATCGAGTAATATTCATACATTTCCATTAGTTCATTGTTATATTATATTTTTTTGTTTTGTTTGAAAGATTAAGTTGTAAAACGTTACTCTTAGCGACACGTCTTTGTACTTTTGAACGAAATAAAGCTTATTTGCTATTATTATTATTTGATATTTGGTGACTTCGAAGTTGAGTCATTTATTTTAACAGTGAGTAGATCTGATCAAAAGAAATGTTTTTTCCATTACCATTTTTCTGGTAAAATTAAAGTAACAAAGATATAGCCCTTTGGAAGTTTGAGTACCGCCCTGTCTCAATAATAATATTATGTGCTCGTGTTTGGCAACAACGGATATAATCCGCCTTATCGGTTCATCGCATCGGAAACAAAAAAGCGAAACAATTTGGAACGATGTTTTTACAATTATTTTATTCAGTTGTATACAGTCAGTGTCAGTCGGTAACGCGTGAGTGAATAATGGTGTCTGTTGCGTGGCTCAAACGAAATAAAAAATGGCACTTGTTTATGCGGATCGGTTTCCCAATCGAGTGCAACCAACCCCTCGTGCCTTTGTTAATGTAGTACAACGGGCTCGTGAATCAGGTGACTTAAGACCTCACAGGGGACGGCATGCCGGTGCTCCAAGACCTCACGATCAAATACAGGTCCGCACTGAAATACTTGTCGGGAGGATACTTTATAAAACAAGGTAACATTATTTTTTAATTTTTTTTTTAATTTTTACACACATATTTTGGTTTATCTTCCTTCTACAATCATTATCTGAAAATTAATGACTCAACTTCAAAGTATAATACACAAAAAACATAACATCTCATTTGCATTTCTTTGAGCATTGTGTAACGATTTCGGGAAAAGTTTCGCCACGGATAGTCTTGTAGAGCCTAGTAGAGTATATTTCAACAGTTGTCTTTCGTGGTCATGTTATCTTACTCCAGAAAAGACAGCATATAAATGACCCGTCGGGCACAGCTAATAGATATGCTTCAATGGCAGCATATTCATCTCACATAGCATATCACTGATTTTATACACAATGCATCCAGATGCGATCTTGCTACTCAACCAAATTTCTTTCTTTCACATCTGCTCAGACATAATCACGACAGACTACTCGGCTTTTTGCAACCAACAATGCATGTCGTGTCGTTGAGTTATTCCTCCATAGATGGACGGTTTTGACGACGCTCACAGCTATCAAGCGGCCAAATGTGGAATGAGCTATTTGCATACTAAAAACTACCTAGTCTCCGAGATGACGTTTCTTAGGTTTTTGATATAATACCCCTACCGTTTCCCAGATCCCAATGGCGATAGTCGAAACACCCGGTGTATTTCTTCACAATCTCATCTAGAAATCTTCCTTTGTTTCACGATATAGCATCAGAAAAGCAATGAGGCCATATCCGCCACCATCTAAAGTGACCATTTGATAGCTAACCGCCCACAATTGAATATCTTCTTGGAATGAAAACGCCAACGCCGTCTCAATCTTTTCACTTCCAGCTGGGACATAAAAAAGCGGATACGCGCATAGTAACAATTAAGCTGGTACTTTGTGATAATTGCGTCGCCTTCAGGAATTTGTACTAACCACGAGCGGCTTCGGAGGGTCAATATCGGGAGGTGTATGAATATAATGATAATAACTTTGCGTGACAGAAACCTGGCTCAGCCCAAATACACCTGACTATGTCGTTAATTTGCCTGGTTACTGTTTGTATAGGGTAGATTCAGTTCGCACGCCGGGGTATTGTGGGGTCTGCGTTTATGTACGTACCGAAATTGCTGACAATTTCACAATAACTGCTACTTCCAAGAGCTTCGATAGTATCGACAGCCTTTGTGGAACTAACACGGCCAAACTTCAGTTTTGTATTAGCCTGTATCTACAGACCGCGTCCCTGTGCTGGTGATGTTTATTTATGTAAATTCATCGAAGAACTTCTAACCAAGAATTCAAACATTCTGTTAACTGGTGATTTCAACTCGTAGATCATCCGACGAGATTCACAGAAGGCCAAACTTCCAGAACTCTCGACCTGATATTTGTCAATGATCCTGACTTTGTTTCCAGTCTAGACTACCTACATCCTTTTGGCAAGTCGGATCACTGTACTTTATTGACCTCGCTTCAATTCTATGTACAAACTCCATCACGGAGACACTTCAAAACTGTGAAGCTATTAAACTACAGTGCTCTCAATCGAGCATGGTCCAATCTGCTTGCACAACGTAGCACTGAAGATATGTGGGATATATTCTCGCGTCGAATCCAACTGGAAGTCACTAAGCATACGACGACAAAGAAGATATTCAGTCATCCAAGAAAGCCTTGGATTAACCATAACCTCTCAAGGATGTTGAGGCATAAAAAAGGGTATGGCAAAGATTCCATAGAAGTAGACTACAACAGGATTATGTATCTCACCGATCTTTCTCTAACATCCTTTCCAAGAACTTGAAAAACGCCAAGCGCAATGATGAGCAAAATCCATCGAAAGATAAGAAGAAGTTGTTCAGATACTTGAGATCCACCCTGAACTCTAAGGTTTCTTCCCCACAAATCCGTGATCCCAATGGCCACCTACATACTGATGCCGAACAATCTGCCAATCTTCTTGCCGATGCTTTCAGTGAAGATTTTGTGAATGAACCTGATGGTGATGGTATTCTTCCGAACTTATCTAGCCTAGCGACCATCTGTAACATAGATTT